TACTGTGACGAATAAATGACACATTTACAATTATTTTTTGCTTCAAAACTATTTATACTGACAGCAATGCATAACAGTTGCTGCACTTTTTCAGCAAAAGGCTCAAATAGATTTGTGCAGGCAGAGGACCGACTGTTGGGATCCTCTTGACCCAGAGCAGCATCTGGCAATCTGTCTGAGGTTAACTGTTGTATAGCATACGCAGTGTAATGTATATGTCTAGGCTTTTATTGTGAAAGGTAAGAACGAAGGGATCTGGTCTGCACCGCATTTATCAAGGTTAAAAGGATTAATGAAGTTTGCTATTTTGAATATATTCGTTTCGCACAACGTGATTTGTTTGATGCCTTTAAGCTCCAAAATGACCACGTAATATTTGTGCTCTGTGTAAAAGTACTCATGAATAAAACAACAGTTCGAAAAAACATATTGACGTGTTAATCATCTCTTTCTTTCTTCTAAAAGCAGTACAGTCCGTCTTAAATGTCCAGAGCAGGTCAAACTCATAGCATCACCAGTTAAGAACCCCAATTTGCAGAAATTTGTAGGTGCAGAAATGTAAATCCAGATCTATTGTCCAGTGGAGGAATGCATTCAGCAATAAGAGCCAAACTGAACCTGGCAGTGAAAACCTGGCAGTGAACAATGGATGTGACCGCCTCCACAATTTCCCCCCAGGCCTCATGTCATATATAACCATTGTATGGTGGATGACAGTCATTTACACCACAGCTACGTAGATAGAATAAAAAAAAATAATATTTTCAAATGAATTTACCCGGCTTTAATGACTGACTACGCAATGAGCTTGTATAAAGGTTTCAGTTGGTGAGCTCAACTTTCCTGAAATAGAAACGCTGTACAGTCAAGCAGCAACTATTTATATTTTAGGCCAGCGAGGGCACGACTGTCACCGTGATAGCAACAGCGATAGCAGTGACAACAGCTCAGAGAGCAAAGACAAGACGCTACTGTGACAAAGTGACAGAGGCATCTAAAAGAACATTGAAATTTACAGCAGAAGCCAGAGGTGAAGGGTCTTCTCGAATGCTCTGCCAGCTCTGCCTCAAAATGATTCATTCTCAAACACTTGACCATGAGATGGGGAGGAAAGGTAGTGCAGAGCCTCCAACTATAGTCCATAAAGGAGCAATCTGTCTCTACATATCGATCATTAGAACCAGATAACTGTCGCAAAACTCTCAATTGGTAATATAATCGCTATTTTGCCTTCCAATTCCTCCAAATGCCATAAAATCTGTAGTCGTTTGAGACACAGTGCAGGGAAGTAAAAGGAAGATAGTCGGCGTTACTTTAAATTGTGTCACAGACTGGAAGAATTTTAGAATAAAAGTTGTCTTGGCAAGTCATTAAAAAAAAAAAAAAAGCTTTTTAAAACCTCTTTTCATTCCTGCATAATTTGCCTAAAACGCCTATCAAGCGCGTACCCAAAGTAAACTGACAGCTGTTATTGAACCATTGGGAGTACATGTATGGTTTTAGTCTTTATTGAACAGCAACACTCTGAAGTTTCTTCACAAACAGTCAGAATCACCGTAAGTGCTACTAGCATTGAGCTAATGCGTTTTCAGCACAGTGAAAGACAAGCATTTTACTTCCGCCTAGATTTGTTTTGGCCAACAGATGGCAGCAGCTATCTATGGCTGGGACTTACAGGCTTGAAAAGACTCTCATTCCACAGCTAACAGTCATGACGCCTAGTATAAGTTAAAATTTGATAACAGTACGACAGAAAATTGATATTTTACACGTGGTTTACTAAGAGTGCAGCCGCATAAAAACGCATTTAGAGGCTCACGTCACCATGCATATACTACGAGTTCAAATTTCGAACTATAGTTTATTTATGCCGATGTATGGTTAACTAATCTGATAAATCTGCATATCCCTGGCTTCGTAATTTCATTGGCTATGTGGAGCCTGAGTTTGAACAGGATCTGTTGCGATTGGCTCGAGCCTTACCCAAAGAAGAGAGGCGGGCATTGTCTTTCAAAGCGGACTCTCTTTGGCTGTTCCAGACTGTGGCCGGGCTATAGAAGCTCCTATTGGGTCAAATGAGGTGTCAATCTAACCGGCGGAATGCAGGCTCCATTTTGCGATGAAAATCTCCGCTCTGTTGACACGGAACGTGAAGTTATGCCCGAAATATGATCGCGAGTTATCATATCTGCTGGCTAATTTGAAATGATGCAACAGCCCCCCCGTGGGTCTTTATGGACATACTAATGTGTTTTGGACTAAATCTTTTATTGGATTCGATCGAGTGGACCCTTAGCCACCTAGCAAGACCGTTTTTGCTGGACTAGCATGCACGAGGGGGACGTTATGGATCATAATCGGTGAGTCACAGCGATATTTTATCGGCTATTTTTGGAGTGCTTGTTTGACAGAGACGTTAACTGTACCTGCTGTTGTTATTGTCTCTTGAAATGGTTTGCATAAATCGAATTACAAGAACCGTAGCTTTCTAATGAGATATCACATTAATACTCATCGTTACAGGGCAGTTGTGTGCATAACACAAAGAGTGAAAGGAGGTTAATGCAGAGTTCTGGTTGTTTCCATCACTGTTTAGACCAATTGTATATCCAGCTCTGAAAATTGGTGACTAGCTTCCTGCTCCAGTGGGGCTCTTTAAGTTCTTCATAGGCATATCCATAATCTGTAGCCAAATCATTTTAGTAATTCAAATGAATCCTCCAGTAAAGCAACATTCGGTATTACAAAGCAGTAACAGTAGTGACATCACACACTTGCTGAGGGTGCCTTGTTGAAATGACAATTTGCAATCGCACCCGCCAATTGGCACTGTTAAACGGATAACTACTGGATTCAGATTCCAAGATCCTGTCTGCCTCATTAGAATATTGTCAGGTACACAACTTCATCTGAACACACACGGGGAGATATATATATGTCTGTAGATTACGCTTAAATGCAGCTTCACGAACGGTAAGCATTACAATGGTAATTCAAACCATCAAGTGTCAGCGCTACATCACTTCAAGGCGCTGGCGCAGCAGAGAGGGGAAAGGTAAAGAAGCGTGTGTAATAGGTGTGATATGAGGGTGTTTACAGCTACTGTGAGCATAGCATCTTCAATTTGTTCTGATGTTGTAAGACGTATGAAACGTCTCAGTACGAAAGAAAGAGAAACATGCTGTGTTGCTATCAGCCCCCTCACGGCAGCGCTCCTACAAAGGATGTATATTTATATAAAACAATAATTGTGAGCAAATGTTGAGGAGATTTTTTAAACTTCCAAACGGTATCAAATTTAGTCACATTTTCGGTTGACGTTTGTAAGCACAGCATTCAAAATGAGCCCTTCTTCTCCGACTCAACGAGCGAGCGAGAGAGGCGAGAGAGAGAGGGCAAGAGAGGCGAGCGAGAGAGAGAGAGGACAAGAGAGGGCGAGAGAGAGAGGGAGAGAGGGAGAGAGAGAGAGAGAGCAGCGGGGTCGAGCAAACTAGAGAGTTAATGAAGGTGGGAGACTGACCATCTGGTGACCTGGTGCGGTCTGAACAACTTAGAGCTCAACGCTCTAAAGACAGTGGAGATGGTTGTGGATTTCAGGAAGAACGTAGCCCCACCAGCCCCTGTCATTGTGTGTGACTCCCCCGTCAACGCGGTGGAGTTCTTCCGTTTCCTGGGCTCCACCATAACCCAGGATCTCAAGTGGGAGCTGAACATCAGCTCCATCACCAAGAAGGCTCAGCAGAGGATGTACTTCCTGAGGCAGCTGAAGAAATTCAACCTGCCAAAGACAATGATGGTGCACTTCTACACAGCCATCATTGAGTCCATCCTCTGCTCCTCCATCACGGTCTGGTACGCTGCAGCCACTGCCAAGGACAAGGGCAGACTGCAGCGCATCATTTGCTCTGCTGAGAGGGTGATTGGCTGCAATCTACCGTCCCTCCAGGACCTGTACGCTTCAAGGACCCTGAAGCGAGCAAGAAAGATTGTAGCCGACCCCTCTCACCCTGGAAATGATCTGTTCGTGCCCCTTCCATCTGGCAGGAGGCTGCGGTCCATCAGAACCAAGACCTCACGCTACACAAACAGTTTCTTCCCGTCCGCAGTCGGGCTCATTAACAAAGCCCGGGTCCCCCACTGACTCTGTCATCCCCAGGACATTTCCTTCTGGTCTCTCCCCTGCACATCCCTGTCTCTTTTATTTAAACACACTCGTCACTTTTAATATTTCACTTACACTTCACTTGTTTTACAGTCCTGTTATCTGTTTTGTTGTGCACTTTATTTTATATTTTATTGTAAATTTGAACATGTTTCTATTTCTTGCACTGTGTTTAATATTATTGTTTATTGTTAAATGTTACGCACCACCCGCCATGACAAATTCCTTGTAGGTGCAAACTTCCTTGGCAATAAACAGTTCTGATTCTGATTCTGAAGAGAGAGGGACCAGCTTTAGTGAGTACAAAGCTGTGAATCAGAACAATAAAAATGTATTTCCTGATAATTTCACGGCGATTACTTTCTAAAGCAGAAATAAACACATCCACACCTCCTTGCAAACTTGACACGGGAAATACACAATACACACACACACACACACACACAGAAGCACAGTGACAAAGCAGCGGTGGTCGACCTGGGAATGAGAAAGGGCTGCACACCCTGCTGATTGGCCCGGGGGGGTGGGGGGGGCGTGGTAATTGTTGCATTATAAGCCTTGAAGACAAAATGTTGTCACATAAAATAAAGTATTTCTTAACACGTGATATGTTTTTTTTGTCGTGAAATTATTTAATTTTCAAGGCGTGTGCATTTGACTCCCATCACCACAACAACGCACACACACAGATGGAGACATCGTCACAACAACCACATCCAACCGAAGATCAGAGACGTCTCCAGCGTCGCAGTCACGGTGTGTGTGATATTGCTCTCCAACTGAATCCAATAAAAGCCCAGCTCTCTCCAGAGTCCTTCAGTATAACAATGTCACCTACCCGGAGGGGATCCCTCGAGCACCTCTCCTGTGTGGCGCGTCTCTCTGAAGATGGGCCGGTTGTCATTCTGGTCGATGACAGTGATCACTAGCGTGGCCGGTCCCTCGACAAGGTTTCCAGCGAAGTCTGTGGTTGAAACTTCCAGCTGTGTGGATATAAAGATAAAGGAGTTCATTTTTCAGACATGAAGATGGTGTAACTGGGCGTAACTCTCATTTACATAAAACTGTAGGTGGGTGACGTTCACAATCTGTGCTGTTCTGCTTCTTGCTACAAAAGAAAACATCCTGTCGCTTTTCCTATGAAAAGACAGCCACAGTTAAAAACAGATGTAATAGTCTCTTCAAACATCACTGCATCTCCCCCTACAAAGGACAATGACGCTTAATAGCTGAATTTTCCACACGTCTTAAGACAGATTGTTGCAATTATTTCGTCTTTGCTGCTAGTGGCGGGCAATTTTCCTGGCTTACAATAATTATTTGTTCCTTTATGGGTATCAAGTGTCTGAGCATTGAGTATAAAGTACCTTAACCTTTGCTGTTAAATTCCAACAAGGGTAGTTCTAATCCTGGTCATCATTCAACCTCAAACATCCATGAAAAGTTTCTCTGCATTTGGTTTGTTTATTTTCTCTGACAATTTCTTACATTCAAACGTGATCTAATCGTGTAAGCATGTGTAAGACTCTCCAGATTCCTTTTCAGGTACTTAAAGACATACAGATAAAACCTTTCAGTCGAGCCGGTTAGGATTACTCATCCCCTCATCACCTCCTCTCTACCTCCATCGACCCACATCACATATTTATGTTTATGCATTCGGCTTCTCCCTACTCTGCACTTTTGCTAGCCGGTTCACCTAGGGGACCTTTGCCAGCTTAACAGTGTACAGTCGAAAATATGCACAATATGAATTCGGCGAGAAAGCAGCTTTCAATCCAGAGTGTAAGACCCTGTACTGTTTAGTCAGCCTACCTAAATACTAAATAGACACTACTAAAGCCTGGCCTACTAATAGACACTTAAGATCACTAAGTAGTTTAAGTATATAAAGATAAAAGATGCTCTCTGTATCAATTGACTCTCACCAGCTGTATTGTTGTTCACTTGTTATGTATAATAATAGTAACTCCGGTATTGTGCTGGCACAACCGTTTGCGGTTCAGCACAACTTCAACAGATACATCTCTTCTGCGCTCCCTCTTCCTGTTGGCAAGCTCCAGTCTCTTGTGGCTAGAAGCTGGTCAGATGTCAAACCCCAGCGTTCACAATGGATAGAATGAATACAACTCGGCTTCATGCCGATGTAAAGCTCTTTCCTGACTTATACTTTGAGTGTTCAGGACATAGTTGCTACATGTATTCATAAACACAAGTAGAAATTCCATATTGAGTTAACACATGTTTCAGCTTTCCCTTTAGCCCTCATCCAACATATTTTACACACAGGTAACACCTGACTCCAAGAATAAGCTACTGGAAGAAACAAACATCACTGCAAAATGTTCTTCTCAAAACAGTATTAGTTCTGTAATGAATGTCATCTGAACAGAAAGAAAACAGATTATTATTTTAGGAACGTTACAGCTAATTTGCACATTGTGTGTGTGCACAGGAGGAAATCTGTGTCTGCTGCGTCTGTCTCCTTCACAAAAAGTACGAGGATGAGGGTTAAGGTGCTACATGTAGCCGTATTAAAAGTAACAGCGTCAAATTAATTGGGATGGCTTAATGTGATTAGCATAACAAATGAAACCATAGTTGAGACGGCTGGGAGGCGTTATCTTGTTTATTAATAAGAGAGCAGTGGTGTCTTTCGTTAAATGCAATTATAGAAATGAATGTCTCAGTTAAAAATGTGGTATTGATTTTGAGGCGCCATATCTCGCACATTTGGGTTACAATGAATTAATGGAGGCCACAGACTGCAGAAAAAAAACAAAACCAAACCCATAGAATATACAGTGAAACTGCATCTCAACATGCTAATGACTGGACACATGACAGCCTGACTTGGATCCCTTTTGATATCATCTAAGCGTGTGTGCTACAAGAAATCCTACCAGCAGATGAGGCGGTACACCCTATGAAGTGAGTGATCTGTATCCTATAAAGACACCATATGTAAAGACATTACCTCAATTCCAATCTTAATCTGTGGCTAAAGAGACCACTTCACTTCCTTTATTAGCGCTGGAGAGATTCATCAGAGGACGAGAGAGGTTCCTCCTTTATCTGTGGCATCACATTACCGGCCTTTCCTCTTCCTATCAGCAATGCATGACATCACGCAACCTTTGTATCACACGGGTGGGTCATCCCGCTCCTCTCCCTTCATGTTGCTCCTCTGTCTTCCCTCCTTTCTTTTGTCCCCCTATCGGTCCGTTACCATGAAGCCCGGAGCATATAGCGTAATGGCAGTAACGGCACACATGCAGCTGAACTAAGTGTTTTAGGTGTTAGGAGCCTAATGGTTTCATATATCATCTCGTCCTCCTCTCTCTCTGCCTTGAGAATATACTGCGGGAGGTTATTCACGAGAGGGACCATTTCCCCCTCTGTCTCCATCCTGCAGAAGTGCTGACTCTCAACTAACGGTGTTCTCAACCCAACATGCATTTCTATCCGATCCACAGCTCAGACACACACACACACACACACACACGCACAATAAGAGGAATCGTATGAGGCTGAAACAAGCGTACAGGGATCTGCATCGCAAACGAACTACAGTCCTGTGCCAACAAGCGTCTGTACGCATGACTTCCCTCACTCAGACTGACGCAAACACATTAATACAGGCACACCGTGCGTGTATATTAGCGCGCATAGCTTTTCTTCTCAGCACGTCTGAGCTGTAATGAGAACATTAGTTGCGAGGTGCCTAGCATCACATCATTTGAATGGGGGATCACACCGGCAACACAGCAGTAACCTGTTTGGCAGACGGAGGGAATACATAATCAAACGCATGCAGACTCACAGCAAAGACAATGATGAGATGTTTCAAGCAACGCTAGCCATGAACAGCTTTGGATTTACATGATTTTCTTTAAGCTTTACGGTATATGAGATGCAAATATCTTAGCTGCGCCCCCCCACACAGCACATATTCTAACTGGGGTTTGAGTATGCAGTGCATTCACAATGAAGTTACACGGATGGAAGAACAATGTCTGCAGATGGCTTTCTGTCAAAAGTGAAGTATTTGGTCCGTCAAAGTCATTTTAATCTCTAAAGAACAAAGATTTTAAGGGTAATGCGGAAGCAAATTAGACGAGCGCAAGTTCGGCCCGGACGCTTTAGTAACAGTTGCTGAGGTTAGCACATTAAAGTGCAAGTCAGTCGCACCATGGCGAGTGCAACTATAACGGGGAAGCTGGACCCTGAACCCCTCTGTGGGATCCCGATCAGCTACAAGAGCAACGGAGAGAGAGTTGAGGGGTGGCATGTCGGCGTATGGGTATGTGAATGGAAACAGATCAAACATGCTTACGCACGTTCAAATCGACGGCATCAGCCAGATGTGTAGATTACAGGGAAAAAGGAATTAAAAAGCCCATCTCCTTGATTCCCGCTGCTTTCAAGCAGCCTTTAGAAGCAAATGCAGAATGGGATCAAACAACTACAGCAGTCATTTTGACACATGGGCAATTCTCTGTGCGTTACATGAATAAAATAAAAAGGAACATTTAAAAAAAACATGATCAAAATCAGATCAGATAAGAAAGTACAAAGTACTCCTCCGTATGCACACGTTTTATTTTCTATCATTCTATTTCTCTAGTATTTCCATTTTCATAGCACAAGAGATGCTTTTCAGTTGTAAGGACTTTTGTGACGCGTTCCCTTTTGGGAAAGTGTTTGTTCGCTGTTCCTATACAGTGAAATACACAAGTGTTTGGAAAGTTCCTTACTTTCATAATGAAACAAAAGTCGTTTGTGGGCAAGATGCTATCTCATCAACTAAATATTGTCAGTGTGCAATATAACTATAGCAGCCCTAAATATGGCAGCAGTTGTCCTGGTAGATACTTATCAAATATCATTTTGTAAAAGCAGTGTACCCTTTATCACGCTACACTCGTCTTTGAACGTCTACTACTTCAGGTGCCGGTTCTCCTCTAATAGCTCTTTTTGTACTTGTGCATAAAGAATTGTAAGTGGTCCTCGTTGGTTGGAAGCTTGTGCAAATCCTCACCTGTGTACCATTCTTCTCTTCTTGGAGATCTTTGCATAATGGAAGGCTGCACAGAATAGTTGCATATGAAGCTCTCTCGTAAGTTCACTCAGGAAGACTATACTCTTGCGTGCCGAAGCCAGTAGTTTATTTCTCATACATCTGCCAATCACTCCTCACGCATGCGCGCTCATTATTTCCTTGCTGTCGTTGTTCGGGGCTGTCAATCATGATATCAGCTGTTCTGATTAGCTGGTCTCGTCTATCCAACAGCATAACGAAACAATTACATCGTCAGCCTATCATCGTGCAGCTGGCTGATTTTAAATATGATTGTCTTTCTCTACCTTCAGTACGTTCATGCTGCTGTTACGCACCCTTCCACCTTCCCATCTCCACCCAATCTTCACAGATGCATCAGCTTCATCAACAGATTATTCTATCAGCCTCATCCACCACCACCACCACCACCACCAGTGTCTGGACTTCACGGGGGAGGGTGGGGTGGGGGGGGGAGGTTTATCTTGCTGCTGCTCAGGGCAGACGCCCCGCGATTACAAATCTCCCTGTAGAGCACCGAAGACTCTGTCAAGACTTTATCATCACACATATCATCTGTTAGTAATAAACAATTGTCTTTTCTTCATCTGACTTGTCTCTCCTGATTCAAATGATGTTGTCTGTGGATGGACATAAAAAGAGAATGCTTTTTTCAGCATATATGTGGACATGCGGGAATATATGGAATATGGTCTTTTGAGACTCAATTAGCTTCCAGAATATCAGTTATACTGCACATTTATACACCACCTTCAACTGGCAACTTTTAAGAATCTATAAAAGATCCATTTCTTATTTGTTTGGATGCTTGACATTGTATTAAATCTAACTTATTGACGCTTTCTGCATCAATGTGTAAAGACAATGACCCATTTCATTCCTAAAAGCACCCAATCATAATGA